TCTAAATTTTCTAATATAATTACTGATAAAACTCAGCTTCAAAGATTTTTGGGAAGCTTAAATTACACTTCTCCTTTTATAAAGGATCTTGCTAAGGATACTTCAATTTTATATGAAAGGTTGAAGAAAAATCCAAAACATTGGACTCATAATCATACAGAATCAGTCAAAAGAATTAAATAAAAGGTTAATAACCTTCCATGTTTAACTCTTGCTAATCCAAATTGGGCAAAGGTTGTTGAAACTAATGCCTCAAATATAGGTTATGGTAGAGTATTAAAACAGTGTTCTCTAGTTGATAAACAAGAATATCTTGTTCAATTCTAGTCGGGAAAATGGAATAATTCCCAAAAGAATTATGCTACTGTGGCTAAGAAAATCCTTGCCATAGTAAAATGTGTATTAAAGTTTCAAACTGATTTCAATCAGAAGTTTTAAAAAATCCTGATTTCCAAGTAGCAAAGTTTAATCATTAATAAAGATTGCAAAGCATGACGTATCAAAACAAATGTTTGCAATATGGCAAGCTTTACTTGAACCATTTGATTTTGAAATTATTTACAAAAAAGGGACATATAATAGTCTCCCTGACTTTCTTACTAGAGAATTTTTGAATTAATAATTCTTTTAATTTTATGATAGGATATGAGACTTGTATATAGGCCTCCTCGGGGAAGAGGACGAGGGAGGACACCTTCCTATGGCAGAGGGAATATCCTTGCCCAAATTGGAAATCAGCAGTTACTAGCTGCTAATATAGCAGAAACATCTGGGATTAATACTGAACACCCGATGTACAAAAAATTCCTGGATTTTATGAAATTCAAGCAAGGTAATAATGATAATCCATCTTATTCAGCGGCCTTGACAGATGATAGTCATGAGGCTATCGAGGTTTATAACCGAAATGAGAAAAAATAGATAATAACTCTTTTAGAACAGCCTGACCTAAAATGGAAGGACACACCTTGGCAACTTATGGCCAGATACTTTGATACAACATCATATGCCACCCTTACTTATAAGTATATAATGCATTATGAATTGGTCCTAACATCTACGGGCTCAGCTGAATTTCAGCACTTTTACCCTACTAATACAAAGAGAATTTATAATTTCTCTAAAATTATTATAAAAAGGATTCTAGCCTTAGATGAATGGGGACTTAATACATTCAAGGAAAGAGAATATACCCATCATGAGGAAAAACTCCCAGTAAAATTTAATTATTGGGATTATGTTGAAGGCTTTAATAAAGCTTTGTTATATGAAAATGTTAATAGAAAACATTCTTGGTTTATAAAGTTTTGTTCTAATATGTATGGACAACAAATCCCAAAATGGTTCTGCAATTGGTGGATATTATATGGTCCATCATTGGAAATCCTTCCAGAACAGTTTAAGAGTTTATATACTCAATAGGTAGATATATCTCCCAAGATAATTAATCTACATAAAGAAGAAATATTCTTTAATGGAATGACTACTATGTACCTTTTTATAGAATTCTCTATCCCTTGGATAATAAAATGGGATGTAGAAGTCAGCTATATAACAGAAGGGTTCCCATGCCTAAATAGAATTTTTTATACCAAGTTTTGGAGTAAATTACTTCAAAAAGATCAGCAAGGAAAATTATATAGTCAGGAAATTTTGGATAATATCCAAAAGAAGATTGATGAATACATCAGGCAAAAAGAAACTAGTATCAAGTCTTTAGAAAATTTAAGTTTATTCAGACAACTTCAAATGAAGAAAGGTACTATGATCAAAGCAGAAATACTGGCCTCATACATGAAGGAGGTTAAAAAAGATTTAATCAAAAATCTAGAAATAGAGATACCACATGATATCTCTATGGCGTCCACAAGCCATACTATGGAAGAAGACACACTCATAACAGGAGAATCTCAAGAGGTTGAAGAAATTGAAGAAGTAGACCTCGATGATAGGTTGCGAGGAATCTTAAATAAAGTTATTTGACCCAATCATTGAATAATTAGGATAATAGAGACGAAAAACTTTAATAAAGTATCTGACCCCACCATGATAGGTTGTGGGGAATCTACTTTTATAAATTTAAATGTCCGTTTCTCTTTTAGCTTTTTCTTTGTGGGCCATCATGTAATTATTTTGCCTGCAATTTTACTGTTTAGTTTTTGTTTGTTTTTAGACAGATCCATTATATAAGGACCTCAATTCTTTAGTTAGGGATAGGCTTCAGCTAATAACTCCCACCTCTCTCTAGAATCAGATAGCTCTCTTCTTTCTCTAAATTTCTTTTGTAAATCTCCCTTTGTAAAATTTTTGTATTTGGAATAAAAAATCAGAAAAGGCTACTTGGCCACAACTTTGACAGTCTCAGGTACTTTTTACTTTTATTTATCTTCATAATATAGACATTCATTTAGCCTAAATGATAGGCTAAATAGTGTTGTGTTGAACTTATGCATACTAATCTATTCTTAAAGCATGTTTTGTTTTTGGTTTTATAGTGTATCACCCAATGTTTATGAGGTTGAGACTATAAAGTCGAGGCAATCTAACAGTCTAGGCAGTAAATCTTGGTTATGACAACATAACAAGGCTGATGTCTCAGTAAAATGTTATCCTGTAGTTCCATTGAAGCGATCGAGTCTTAACTTAGAAAGATTTCTACAACAATTCAAGNGCAAGTGTGATTTTGTGGAATTTGAATTTTGAATAATTTTGAATTTTTGATTCATTCTTTTGTCCCCGCATTATGCGTGACTTAAGCTCGTGGACAGTGTATTATGTGTTAAAATTGAAAAGTGTGTGGTTTATGAATGTTCTATATCTGAGCACACAGACTATGTAAAAACAAAATTACTTCGTGTTTTGCGCTGTTATATCTCGAGCGCTTGTTTAGCCTATAATTGCCCTAATTGGATCGTGTAATTTGCTTATGCTATATTAGTGCTCAGTGGCGGAGTCAGGAATTCTGACAAGGGGCCACATATGCGATTTAAACATGTATTTTTCTAATGTTAAGAGGATTGAAATTCTATATTTGTATAAACAAATTGTTTTTACCCTATTTATGCAGTGTAATATTCTGGCGAGGGAGAATTTAATTGAATCCCCTTGGTTGCAACTTGCATGTGGCTCCGCCACTATTGGTTCTACATTGGTCAAATGCAAGTTACTTCCTGTCTCTGCTGTTACTTCTTGTGCTTGTTTAATTATATTTCTGCTTACTAGTTTTTGGATACATGCGTTGCACGTCTATCCCATATCAATCATTATGTAGCTTGTAACCAAAAAATAATATAATAACTATTAACTGCATACAAGTTCCAAAATGTTTTGAGTTACAAACATAACTTATAGTATACAAAATATTATTTGTAGTTATATTTTTATTATTTTATTAAGTACATAAATGTTATTGGTTATATCTAATTTAATAATTTCTTATAAACGATGCTCCTCATGATTATCTCTGTTGAAATCTAGTTGATCTTAAAACAACAACAACAACTGGTATGCCAATGGGTTATGCCAGGAAGAATATTATTTGTGGGGCTTACTGGTGTTGGAAGTATTCGAGATCATTAGTGTCAAATATTAATAACGGGCAAGATCATTAGTCTCAAGTCGTAATTACTTTTCAGTGTTCCTGAGAGTTTTTGGAGTCCAATGGGTTATGCCAGGAAGAATAAAACTTGCTCTATGCCGCTGGTATGCATTACCATTTGCTAGCAAGCACACTATTGGAATGCAGTTCCTACTTGCATTCTCTGGAATATTTGGCTAGAGAGAAACAAATAGGTGTTTTAATGAGACAACTGAAATCTAGATGCTGTAAGACAGTAAGAGTCTTTATTTGTGGTGTAGGAAGAACTTTAAATTTGACATAGCCTCATTGTTGGATCTTTTGAATTCCTTCGATATATATAGGGAAGACCTCTCTTCTGATATCCTCTTATAAGTACCTTCTTGGTACTCATTAACACAATCTTTACTGTTTCATCATGAAAAGAGAAAAGAAGAGAAAACGGATAATTGACTTAGGATAAGATAGTATCTAATTAATAATCTGCACAGTTTGATTGGGTTGTACATACTGACCAGCACTTTCTTTATGCTGTTTTTTCTGATATAATACTACTCTCCCATTACTTATGAAAACAGAGATAATATTTCATCTATCTGTAGCAGTGTTATTAAAAGCCATCGCTTCGTCGCTTAAAGCAATGTAGCGTTTCGAAGCGAGGGGTTATTGCTTTGTAGGTCAAGCCATGCACTTCAGTTAAATGTGCGCTTCAAGTAATGACTTAAGTGAATTAAACAAAAAACTGTCGGTTCTTTAAAGCTCAACTTTGAAGAGTTGGAATAAAATCGGCAATTGTATATTGGGTGTTGAATTCATTTATTTATTGCATTTTGATTATTATATTACTAATGCATATATGTTTGGTTTTAATTTTCTTTAATTGTGCGCTTCACTTGAAAGAAGCGTGTGCTTCACTTCCTGTTTTCGCTTCAAGCTCCAAAGGGACCTTGTCGCTTTTATGTGCTTTTCACTCTTTAAAATACTTATCTGTAGGAACTGTTTTCTTGTGTGTGCATGTTGATTAAGTGAAAGTTTAAGTTCTCTGCATAATTTGTGAGTGTTTTTGGTGTAGAGTAGTCCAAAGTCTTTTCTTTCATGGATTGATATGGAGTATTTCAGATTGTTGATTCTTCTTTGCAACCATAGTCGTCACCTACTTGTTGGACCCATCTGTTATTCATAGTGTGATTTTCCCGTACTTTGACGTGCTTCTGAGTATGGTATTTTTCTAGCTTGACCCTTTTAAACCTCTTTTTTGAATTTCATAGTAAGTTGGCTATTCTCTATTTTGACTTAAAGATGTCTGATGACTTCTGTTCTTTATGTTGTTACCATAATCCGACACTTATCCATTGGCTTCTGCTTTTGTTTTCCTCTAAATTGTAGATATATCCAGATTTTGAAACATTTTTCCCCTTGGATTTGCAGGTTGAAGCAGTATTAGACAAGGAAAACTTCACATTGGAAGAGCTCCTCGATGAGGAAGAGATAATTCAAGAATGCAAAGCTTTAAACAGCCGCCTCATAAATTTGTAAACAGTCTTGCAGTTTTTCATTTATAAATGCCTCTCATTACCTTAAAAAATGCCTTTCTTTTATCATGCATATGCTTCTGTTAATTGTTTCATTTTAACCATCAATTGGCATATAGTTCTAGTGAAAGAATTAATAATCGCACAATTCAGTATTCATACAACTTAAAGTCCCAAAGTTTATTGACAAATTTTTATGATTTTGAGGTTTCAGTTTGAGAGATCGAGCCCAGGTTGAGCAGTTACTGCGCTACATTGTTGAAGAACCTTCTGAGGATGCCGATAACAAACGGAAGTTTAAGTAAGTTATCATGGAACATGAATAAGCTTTAATTATTTGAATAATCTAATTGCAAGACAATATGTTTATTTTTAATTTTAGATATTAGGTACCACTTCAGTTTCTTGTTTCTAATTATTGTTTTGCACCATAGATTTCCTTTCATTGCCAGTGAGATATTCACCTGTGAAATTGATGTCATCCTTAAGACTCTAGTGGANCCTTAAGGCTCTAGTGGAAGAAGAAGAGGTATGGTAATTCACTGGATGCAGTTATTACATTTTAATTTTAAATTGCAACTGTAAAAAAAGTCATTACATTTTAGTTTCACAGAAGAAATTGTTTTGCTTGAGAGCTCAATCCTTTTTTATCATCTTGGCGCAGCTCATGAATTTACTCTTTTCCTTCTTGGAACCAAGTCGTCCACATAGTGCATTGCTTGCTGGGTATTTTAGTAAGGTATAGTTTCATTCATCCACAAGGTTCATGTATACAAGATTAATGAAATGTTATTTGGTTAAAGCAAGTTGATTTATGTACTCTTACTGCATTACAGGTTGTGATATGCCTCATGTTGCGGAAGACTGTTCCCCTCATGAATTATGTCCAGGTAGTGTAGTCTATGCGCAGATGCATTCTTCAGGATACTTTACTGCTTCATTTAGTTAAAATTTTGACTTTCTATTTTGAAGAAATAACAAGATGTTATTTTTTTATCAAGAAAAGGATTATGTTAGTGGAAATCAACAACTTGGAAGAATTTGTAGTCTGATATGATGATATATTATTTGTCTGGTATGATATGATGCTATATTAATTATTATGGCAGTGCTGAAGAAACTAAGATTTTAATAAAGCAGCAATTTTATATGCAGACCTCAAAGATTGGCTTGAGTATTGGTTTACTTTCATCAGTAACTCAATTCATATGGTCAAACTCAACCTATCTTAACCCCAAGAGTTTTGATTGATTGATGATGAAGGTTATTAACCAGAAAAATGTCTAATCGTCATATGAGTCTCCGGCTAAATATTATCTTATATTGACACCTTGTTGTTATAAATTGCTCATCTAGTAAGTGATCTTGTGTTCATTTTCATCCAGTTTTCAAGTTAGTGTCTAGAAAATCATAAAATTATAATTTTTTGGTAGAAAGAAAAGAAAACATCATTTCCTTGATGCTGGTAGATTAAATACCAAGATTTTGGTCCATATTCGGGAATCGGCAAAGTTTTTATGAAAAGAAGTCTCCTTTTTGCAAGGAACAGAAGTTGAAAATTTATAATCTCTCTCTCCAACACTAGTTCAACCTTAGAAAGCCACATGTCTTCGTTTGTTACATGTTGGATTTACATTTCAACACCTATTTATTATTTGCTACCCATTTTATCTTTATAAACATGCATGGGTATTTATTTATCAAAAAGCGAGGTATGTATATTTATGTATATTTATTTGTGGTCATGTCATTTTAATTTGTTCCAAGCGATGTAGTAGTTGATAATCTTTAGCATCATTCATTTCAAATGTCATATTATTTTTCTATATAAGATTAAGCATCAGATTGTTTTGGGCAACGGAAAGTTATCTTTTTCGAAAACCAGTTCGGATTCATGCGGGGTCGTTCGACTACGACAACCATTCACCTTGTAAGGAAGTTGGTGGAGTAGTATAGGGTGAGGAAGAGGGACTTGCATATGGTGTTCATTGATCTAGAGAAAACATACGACAAAGTTGCAAGGGAGGTTCTATGGAGATGTTTGGAGGTTAGAGGTGTTCTTGTGGCTTACACTACGGCAATTACGGACATGTACGATAGAGCTAAAACTCGGGTGAGGACAATGGGAGGGGACTCAAACCACTTTCCAGTTGTGATGGGGTTGTACTAGGGGTCAGGTCTTAGCCCGCTTTTAGTTGCCTTGGCACTGGATGCACTGATGCGTAACATTCAAGGGGAGGTGACATGGTGTATGTTATTTGCGAATGATATTGTACTGATTGACGAGCCGCGTGACGGTGTTAACGCGAGACTGGAGGTTTGGAGATAGACCCCAGAGTCTAAGGGTTTCAAGTTGAGTAGGACCAAGACAAAGTATTTGGAGTGTAAGTTCAGTGACAGGACTAATGAAGTGAACGTGAGGCTTGATACACAACTCATCCCCAAGAGAGATAGTTTCAAGTACTTGGAGTCTATAATCCAAGGAGATTGGGAGGTTGACGAGAATGTTACCCATCGTATTGGAGCGCGGTGGGTGAAGTAGAGACTCGTATCCGGTGTTTTATGTGATAAGAATGTGTCGCCTAAACGTAAAGGTAAGTTCTACAAAGTGCTAGTTAGACCGACTAGGGCAGTCAAGAACCCCCATCTCCAGAAGATGAAAGTAGAAAAGATGTTGAACTTCAGAAATGATGTGCGGGTATAACAGGATTGATAAGATTATAAATGAAGATGAGGATGTTGAGACGGATGTGCGGGCATACCGGGATTGATAAGATTATAAATGAAGATATTTTGGCCAGGGTGAGAGTGGCCCACGTGGAGGACAAGATGCGGGAAGCTAGACTTGTAGATAACTTTCTAATATATAGTGACTTTAGGGGTGAATGCTTTTATATTTGTTGCATGATTTTTAATATATTTAACTTATATTAAAAGAATTAAGTACTTTTAAATTTTATTTTCATATTTTACTTAAATAAAATGAAAAGATTTAATTATTGCCTGTAATAACAAATTTTTGAGATTATTTATTTATTAATTAACTATTAAGTAAATCTATTCATGTCCTTATTCGTAATTTGATACTTAAAAGTACTTTCTGAAAAGCTTGGCCAAACACAAATTATTGCTCAAAAGTGCTTTTCAGAGTGATTAGCCAAACACAAACTGCCTCTCTCCAAAAGTACTTTTTTCAAAAATACTTTTGAAAAAAGCACTTCTCAAAATAAGCTGATTTCTCCAGCTTGGCCAAACAGGCTATTAGATGGTTTGGGCATGTGAAAAGAAGCACAGATGCTCCGGTAAGGAGGTGCGAGAGGTTGGCCTTAGTGGATCTGAGAAGAGGTAGAGATATGCCAAAGAAGTATTGGGAAGATGTGATTAGGCAGAATATGGCGTTGCTTCAGTTGTCGGAGGGCATGACCCTTGATAGAAAGGCGTGAAGGTCGAAGATTAAGGTAAAAGGTTAGTAGGTAGTCAAGGTGTTTTTTTTTCCATTCCAGTGGTATTAGTGGCGGTCTTGTATTCTATTATTGGTAGATTTTTATCACTTCGTATTGTTCCTTTTGCCTTGTTTTCTTGCTGTCATTACTGTTTGTTGTTACCGCTTTACTTGCATCTTTTCTTGAGCCGATGGTCTTTTTGGAAACAGCCTCTCTACCTCACGGTAGGGGTAAGGTGTGCGTACACACTACCCTCCCCAAACTCCACTCGTGGGATTATTCTGGGATAATTGTTGTTGATGTGCCCCCTAAGCCTGTTAATTTCATGATGTGTTAGTCCTTCCCCTCTTTGTGTTGCTTCTATTTCATTTCTATGTTTCTAGAGACAACCACTCTGCTTTGCCCATTACCTTAAATGTCTATTTTGCATTTTTAGCAAACCTCTCAATTCCGCTGCAGGATAGTCTTAGGTTCCTTCCCGAGACAACCAATAATTACTTTCTTTCTTTTCCTGGTAAGCATTGTAGTTTGAGTCCTCTCAAGGGTGGGTTCTCTTTTTTGAGAAGGGTTAGTGGGGGCAGCGTTGAATCTTTCTGCAAATTCGAGTTAGCTCTTTTATTTCATCTCTTCCTCTCATGCTTCTTGCGTCTTTTATTGCTGACCTGTCTCAATTGACGACTCTGTCTCCTTTGACCTATGTATCCCTGACCTCTGTGTTTGCATCCCTACCCTGTAGACTATCTGAAGGCAGGAAAGATAATGAACTAATATATTCCCATTTGTGCTTCTGTTAGTTTTCTTCGCATAATCTAAGTTGCTTCTACATTTCTCTGTGAGCTTCAAATGTTGTTGTATTTCTAGATCATCCTAAGTAGGTGGCAGATAGCTTCCTTGTATAGTAATTTAACAGAACTCACCTAGCTCTGTCTGGATTTTACTGTTGGACAGCTCATGCTTGGTTTCACCCTTGTTGAAAAGTTCAAGTAAGATGCAGTCTGATCTGAAATAGTAATTGGAGTATATGTTTACTTATCCAAGGAAAGAATAGATAAGAAAAAAGTAATTTTGGGTTTAGTAAACTGCATAACAATTTTTGGAGTTATATATTTATTCTGTTGGACAAGTAAGTTTCTGATGTAGTTTAACTGTATAATTGCATGTCTACTTACACATGGTTAGTGGGTGGTGGAGCAAGGAGGGTCAAGAATTCAAAACTTGCTTAAGTCGTGTATGAAATAATTGCATGGACTCACTTTTGGGAAGAAATGTTGCTCCAAGCATCTTTATTACAGGGAGTGAGTTAATACATAGGGGACCATATCTAACTCCTTCCTTTCACTTGGCAAACTTGGGAGGATAGTGATTTAAACCTTAGTAGGACGCCTTAGCAATGCGTACATGTTTTATTGCTTTTCTTTCTCTCCTCCCGCCTAAAGTATTGGTTATATTCCGGATCATTTTGATTTTCTTACAGGCGCATCATGATGTTTTCCGCCAGATGGTCGATTTGATTGGTATAACATCCATAATGGAGGTTAGTGGTGTAGTTTTCCGTTCTTCCATCTGCCACAATGTGTGTATGATTGTGATACATACAGTCAACTATGACAATTAGTCTGATGAAGGCATCCCTCTGATGAGCTGTTTCTTTATAGGTTTTGGTGCGACTTGTAGGTGCCGATGATCAAATCTACCCCAACACATCGGATGTGATGCAATGGTTAACTGACAGCAATTTGTTAGAAATGATCGTGGATAAATTGAGCCCCTCTGTAAGTTAAAGAGATTTGTGGTTACCTGATTATCTGCTACTTTTCTTTAGTATTCCTTTGATATATATGTTCTGGTTGACATTTACAGGCTGTTTAGGTATTCATCTTGCACTAAGAATAACAGTATATGATTGTGCACTCGTGCTTTCGTCGATCGATTCTGTCAATTAAGCCTAGTTATCTTTGCTTATTGGCAGTGCATTTTGCTGGCGATACTGTGTATTTTTATGTGTTAAATGTCAGCGTATTGCTTATTGAATGGTACGGCAGTTTAATGACATTCTGCTTCGGGGCAACTGGAGCTGCAATGTGTAGTTGACAGGAATTATGTATTCCTGCAGCAGTAAACTGAAAGACCAAATTCCTTCCATTGATGGATCCATGTCTCTTTGACTCCTCTTTGTTGATTTCAGCAGGTTTCATTTTTGACCTAGAAATCTGTTTTTTCCCTAATGTTCATGTCAGACAGGGAACATAGGGACAGAGATAAAGGGGGCTTATCAACTTGTTCTGCCCTACGATTAATAATTTTTGTTTTACTTTATCATTTAGAGAACTTCTGTTCCCAAGCTTAGCTCAGATGCAGCTTCCTTCTTTTTATGTTTTTTCTTGGGGGTGGGGGGGAGGGAAATGTGAAGCAGTGTAGAATTCAGATATACATGTGTCAATGCTTTTTCTTTTTGAATTTTTTAGAAAGACCGAACAAGAATTAGCTATCCCTTTAAAGGGGGTGATCTAGCATTTCTGATGTACTGTTTTATTGTCCAGAGTCCTCCTGAAGTACATGCTAATGCAGCAGAGACCCTATGCGCAATTACCAGAAACACCCCATCACCTCTGGCCACTAAATTATCTAGTCCAAGGTCTGTAGGACTCCAGTTGATACTTCTCTTGAAAGCTCTTTTTTCTTTGGGATTCTTTCCTGATGATGTTAATTTTGACTGAATAAGTTGCTCAACTTCCTTTACATGCAGCTTTGTTTCAAGGATATTTTGTCATGCCCTTGAAGATTCACAGTCAAAGTCTGCCCTTGTCCATTCTTTGACTGTCTGCATATCTCTGTTGGATTCAAAAAGATCAATCCCATCATTTATGATGTATTCCTTCCGGAGCCAGCATGTTTATGAGTCACCCGTGCATGTCAGCCCTGACACTATTGACGCAATGTTGCCTAAACTTGGTAAGTTTCTTTTTGCAAAAAATTTCATATGATTTTGAATTGCTAAATACTTGTTTAGATACTTTTCTACCCTTTAGATCAATTCAAAGTTTTCTAAAAGAGAGTGGGTGGTAGGAAATCATGAAAACGCAAAGCTGTTGCAGAACAGGCCACCAAAAAAAAAGGAGAGGGAATCCTTTACTTCCTAATATAACTGATGTGTTTGCTGCCCCTTGACCCTTATCTTTAAGATGTTTAATAACCGTTGCTCATTCTGGAACAGGTGACTTGGTCAAGCTGTTGAATGTGACCTCTGATGAGAAGATTCTGCCTACGACATATGGTGAACTAAGACCACCTCTAGGGAAGCATCGCTTAAAGGTTTGTATTGTATACGTTCTTTGAATCGAGTGAGCTGATCTTGTTTTTATACTACAATTTGATGAATTTAGGTTGATTGGTGTTATTTCAGAAGGATATTTATAGCTAGAATTTCCAATAGTATGGACTTTCATTATCTGTTAGAGATCAAGTTGGCTCATGATTGTATTCTGGATGAATTGTAAATAGCTTGATAACCTTTCTTGTTATATTTGGTGGATTTGTTGAAATGTATTCAGCATTTAGTCTGTGGAGTAGAAGCTCAGAAAGGATTGTTAGCATGAACATATGTTCAATATTTGCATGCTTCCTTTCACTTCCACTGTTAAATCATTGAGTTGTTTATCTTAGCCGAGTCTCTTTATCTTTTTATATTTAGTGGTTTGCTTCTTTATTGTAGATTGTGGAATTCATTTCTGTGCTACTGAAAGCTGGCAATGAAACTGCAGAGAAAGAGTTGATCAGCTCTGGGACGATTGAGAGAGTCCTGGATCTCTTTTTTGAGTAAGATTTTATGCCTATGCTCATGAATTCTGGAACTCTGAGTTGCTGGTTTACTCACCAAAAGCCATTGATTTTGTGTTGGAGGCTTTCTTACTACTTTCTTCTTTGGTCCGAACAAATTACTTGATTGCTGTACAGGTACCCTTATAACAATGCATTACATCATCATGTGGAGAGTATAATATACTCATGCTTGGACAGCAAAAACAATATCATTGTCGACCATCTTTTCGATGAGTGTAATTTGATTGGGAAGATACTTCAAACGGATAAGCAGGCCACAATTTCTAGTGATGAAAAACAGGTTGATATTTCTAAATAACTGATTTACTTTCTATTAAATTATTAGGTTTTGAAATTGCCTCGTTCTTTTCGAGTTATCGCACCCCATTCTCTCCAAGAACAGAACATGTTAAATGGGAACACTGCAACCTCCCTGTATTTAATAGCTTGATATGCTTTAATGATGTTTTTCAATTGATGCAGCCAACTTTACCTGCTACTGCGAAACAAGCACCCCGAGTGGGTAACATAGGACATATAACACGGATTTCTAACAAACTTGTTCAGTTGGGAAAGAATGACAACCACATCCAAGAACAACTTGAGGTGTGTGAAAGCTTTATATTGTTGCTTGATATGCTTTCAACAACGAACTGCATATGAGCACATCATCAACCAAAATTGTTCAGTTAGATTTTGAAAGTTCTGTCTGAGTCAATTGTTTATGTCTCTAAGCAGTGCTCTCTGCACAACTAAAAAGGAATTAAGGATGGACGTCGGCAAATAGTTTCAACATACAGTTACCTACCCTCCTGTGCTTCAAAGGGATTGTCTTTGATATGAAATTGATCTTAGCTTGTTTTTTAGAAGTAGGGAAGAGAGCTTGGCACTGATTTTACTGTGCATTGTAATAAAAACTGTTTGATTGATTTTTAAGCACCACGTTCCTCTTCACAAATATGTGATTAATTACTTTGTTAAACAAAATCATTCGTATGCCTTTGATGTCAATATTTAGTTTGTGGTGTCCTATGTAAGTTTTTTACTGCAGTATCTCATTAGATTCCTGTCACTTCTTTTTATTGTTTTTGGCTCATGATATTGATTGAGCAGCAGAAGTTGGTGAAAGATTCTGCCTCATGCGTTCTATATAATAACTTTTGATGGCATTGGATTTCGTGCAACATTTCATCTTCTCACATGTTAATCTGTCTTCTTTATGCCAGAAAAATATGGAATGGAGTGATTGGCAAATTACCGTCTTACAGGAGCGTAATACGATCGAAAATGTCTACCGATGGGCTTGTGGGTACGTTTTGCCTCTTCTTTTTGATTGTATAACTGTTCGCCAATACTATGTCATTTATAATGTTTTTCTGTCAATCAAATATGTGCTCATCCCAAATTAGTTAGGGCTTGGCTATATGGATTCCCTTTGTCCATTCATACACTTCTAGTAACGCGTCTTTTAAGGCAATTAGGAATTCTCTAACTTTAGAGGTTCTTTTCTAATTTCATACTTATCCTATATGGACATACAAGTTCTAACCCCCTGTCTAACACCAGATGCGACGTAACTATAACAACTACAACAGCTGAACCACTTATAGTGTTAGTACTTTGTTGTCTTTACTAAAACAATCGTTGTTGTGCCATGTCATTTTCAAGTATCTCAACTCTGCCTTCATCTGGTGGAATGATAAAATGGAAAAAGTAAACAGATTTTCAAATTGATTGGAGTAGTAAACAGCGAGGAGTTTTAAAAATAAAAGGCGGACTATATTATAAAGATACTTCAGAGAGAGAGAGGTGTCTTCGTGAGCACCAATCTCGGTCTGTTGGACCTACTTTGATGTATGAACTTTCTAGTATCTGAAGAAAGAGGTCAAAAATGGGGTAGAAAAGATAAGGGGGTGGGTGGGAAAGCAGGGAATTAACTGTTGATACGTTTTTGGTGGACCACTGTCATGTCCTTTACTGTGATCTAGTAGTGACAAGAAGTGTCACAATTTATTAGATGAAAAGCTTCTAGTGAAATCATTCAATCAGATAGTCAAGGAGAGCTTATCTGAATAGTATAAACATAAATGTCACAATTCGTAAGAGAGTGGAGAAGGAGAGGTGGTTAGGTTGAGTTCTCTTTTGGGAGCAAAAGAACTGAGTGTTCCAGCTTACTCCCTTCTTGCCTCTTCTGCTCTAGTGCCCTTGTCAATTCCTACATCAACTACTGGAATAGAGGTCATGACGAATTTTTTAAACATGAGCAGCCGGCCAACTGCATTGCAAGACCGGATGAGGGACAGTGATGAGGAAGATGTGCATGATAGAGATTATGATGTAGCAGCTTTAGCCAATAATCTTAGCCAAGCATTTCGATACACCATATATGACAATGATGATGCTGAAGAGGTAAGGGTTTATCTAATGCATTGTAAATCAGGGTTGCTATCTCTTTTTTTGCTTTTTCAAAATTCTATTTCCCAAAAAAATCAGGGTTGCTATCTCAGCCTATTCTTTCTTTTTGGGGGAAGGAAGTTTAGAGGGGTGGGGGCGGGTTTGGGTGAGGGAGGGTGTTCTGCAAGCAGAAGAGAAGAAAAGAGGAATACCACTCTGGAAACTGTGCACATAACCCCAATTTTGGGCTTTGGGATGCGATTGGGTTATGGTTACACATTTGTCAATTCATTCATGGTCTTCATCACTTTTTTACAGGGTCATGCAGCTCTTGATCGAGATGATGAGGTAATACTTTTATTCCGTGATTGACTTTACTTCCTTTTGAATGTTTTAAAGGTCACTCGCTCTTTTATTGATGTTATCATTCGCCTCTGGCATTCTCACGGTTCTGTGGTCATGCCATATAGGATGTTTACTTTGACGATGAATCTGCTGAAGTTGTGATATCATCCCTCCGATTGGGAGATGACCAGGGGAGGTGAGTTCACAGTTTGGTAGTTTTAAAGGAAAGTTTTGTGCAGGAGTCAATTTACACGCGTTTTCTGCAGCGTCTGTACTATAATTGGGTGTAGGTAATTAAAAATAAAATGGCCCTCCAAACAAAAACCCAAAGAATGTTAAAAGCAAGAAAAAGAAAAAACAAGAGAGGACGAGGAGAAAGAATTTTTTTTGTATTCCTCCGTTCATTTGACCATAGAAAATGCATGCCCTTGTGTTCCGTTGGTTCCTTTGCGTGTGTTAAAAAATGGTAAGTTAGTGATGCGGCGAGGTTATAGCATCTGTTCTTTCTACATGGACTTATTATTGTTTGTGTGTGACAGTTTCTTTTTCTTTTCTTCCACTTTGTGCAGCAGTTTATTCACAAACTCAAACTGGTTTGCTTTTCAAGATGATAGACTTGGCGATGCACCTATGAACACCTCACCTACAGAGGCAATGGAAGAGATCAACCTTAATGGAACATCAAATGATGGGAATAGCAATAGTGATGACGAGGTAGTAGTAGGAGAGGAGGACGAATTGGCTGAGAGCAAAAATTCTACAGATACAACACCCACTTCTACTTCAAATGCTGTTAGTGGATTGGGTGGATCGGATTCTGTCAATGGTGGTAACTTCAGTCAACAAAGCGAGAAAGCAGGTGTGTCAGATGACATGGGTTTCTTCCGCTTTGAGACGTCAGACAATGATGACCCCTTTGGAGACAGGCCTATGCCTGAATGGGCAGCGTGGGGGGATGCGTCAGATTTTCAAGTTGGTAGATCCTCTGTGAACCCATTTGAAGATCCTAGTAACTCTAGTGGCCATCTGGCCAATTCAGGGGAGGCAACAACTCCCTTGGTAAGTTCCACTTCTGGTGGTAGTGGAGAATCTCTTCCAAATGGTGTCTCAACATCTCTGGATTCTAGCAAAACTTCAACTGGATCTGATTCTAGTCAGAAAGCAGCTGCTGTTCCTTCTTTGTTTGAAGAGGATGTTGAATTTGTTGGCGTAGAATTAGAGGGTACTGAAAAGGCAATGGAACATGCTCTTAAGGAGGGGATTGTTGGGGAGGCTGCTCCTTTGAAAAGGAGCACTGTTCCTAAGAATCCTGAAAAGGAGAGTACAGATGATGGTGGGGCAGGAATAAAGGAATACAATGATGCAAACTACTGGAGAGTTGACCAAGAAGTTGCAGTACTGGAGTAACTGTATGCGGAAATCCGTTGATCTTCATTTGAACCTGGGATTCAGCGCTGATTGCTTGGATCCCCATTTTTAGTTGGTGAGGTTATGCAGCCAGTTGTGTACAGTGGACTTGTTCTCTGATTGGGATCAAACAGTAGGCTAATATAATGGTTGTAACTTATTAGTTACTGTTACACTTGATGTTTATTGTTCAGCTTCTTTTTTTCCCAGTTATCAAATTTTTGATCTCTTCTCCCTATACATTATGAATATTGTATCTGGTGTAAAATCTGGATAAAGTAGTTCCAGTTTAAGGCAGGCTCAAGGGCTGCAGTGTTGGAATAATCTGGCTTCATATCTTCGTTTTGTTAAATTATGGATACAATTGGCTTTGTTATATGTTATTCTGAGTGCATTTGATATCCAACAAAAGCCAATAGTTGCTGAATTCCATATTGGGGATCGAACTGTTGCTTGTTTCATTTTTCTCGAATTGGTCTTCCAAAGTGCCTGTTCCCTTCATCATCAGAAATGCTTATTCCATTTGGAGATGCTACTTGCTTCTTATTCGAATGACTGGTCCAGTTGTCAGAGATTGAGAATCTGTAAGTACCAAACTAAATTTCCATTTTGTGATTATGGGTTTCTTGAGGTTCTGTGTCTGCAGCTTCATTGCAAGTCTTCTACAGAATATCACATCCTGCATGCCAGCGATTGAAGCACACTTCTTTTACTGCAGGAAGTGTCCTTCGGCTTCTTGGTGAAAACATGAATGCTTTTATGCTTTTCTTGTTTGGAGTGATTGGCATAGCAAATGCCTTGATGATAGCAAATGAGGAGGGTATGCCAAATTTGTTGGTCTGCCTTGATGTAATTTTCAGCACAGGTCAGTGAGCTTTTAGAGGAAATACTGTGTAGTCTAATGTTCGTTTTTTTGAGTCATATCGGATAATGCGCCCGGCAACAGTGATAGAGATGAAGATGAAGATTCAGTTATCCTTTATTGCTACTTTGTTTGAGATAAGGGTCCATCAGATGAACTTGTTCCTATTGACAGACTCGGTGTTGGGCAAATAGTGAAACGGTAATCTCGCAACTTACTGACTTAATATTACAGTTGCATTTACTTCAGATGATGGCATTATGAGTCGGAGATTTTTTTTTAAAAACTATTCATGGCAGTGTGAATGTAGAGTTTCCATTTGCGTCAAAGGAATAGTAATAGAAAATATGTAGACCTTGGCACTCGTAGTAAATCTTTGAAGAAAGTGCTGATTATGTTTTGCAAGACGCACCAGTAAGGGAAATGAAAACATGTAGGCTTTAATTGTGGCTACGGAAAAGGGTCAAAAATATCCTACTACCAAAAATTGTTTAAAGTTATCTTCCGTCATACTAATCGAGCAAAAATATCTCTATCGTTTTACTATTGGAGAAATATACCCCGGGTTAATGGAGGGGCCACGTGTCTGCATGGGCTTTATAAATCCTACTACTAAAGAACTCTATAAAATCTTTCAATCCACCTCCATAAACCATTGATCTTGGATTTCTTGGCATTATCCTTTCAAATAATTCAGTGCTACTGTCACTCCCATTATTTCTACTCTCAATTGGTCTTGAAGCTAACCTCTTCTTCTCCACACGTTGCCGAATTCTAATTGTTGCACAAGTTTACACCTTTCCTTCCTCGTAATGTTAATTTCGTTGTGAACTTCAACAAATTCTTCAGCAATTAAATTCTCGTATTGAATTTCTGTTGCTTTCCTCTTCTTATTGTTATGTGGTTTATTTTTGGATTTTTGGATAAATAGTGAGAAAGAAACTCACCTTCTTCATCCATTACCACTCTAAAAAGTTGTCAACATAATAACTAGATCTTAAAATCCTATTCATTTACCATTCTCTTGGCTATTACACAAAAAGTGACAGAGCTGTGAGACGGACACAACAAAGACTGAATTCTCATTTCTATAGAAAGATCAAGATAAAATTGAAGTCTCATTGTTGATCTATGCCTATAACAACAGCACATAAATTATAGGTTTAATTTGTTCTTTTTCTGTTTTCTTTACTGGAACCCCAATTTTTGGATTTAATTTTGTCTTTAACATGAATCTCTATTGCTTTAAACTTATCCCCTCACAAAAGGAATTAGAGAGGGGAAAAAAGGTTATCTGAGCTTGGTCGAATGGCAATAACTTGAGGAATTTCAGATTTGATATTGTATATTGTAAATTTGTGGGTCTAAGTGATAAAAAATATAAACAGGTTATTTCTTTTACTCTTATGGAGATTAACCTTTCTTTTCTTGGGTTTATCAATGTGGGTGTGCAGATAGAGATTGACCTTCATTTCTTTAGTTCTTCAAAGTGCATTTGCCCGATAAGAGGCTCCAAGGAAGGATATGAACTGATGAAGTAAGGATCAAAAAGTAAGGTTCAAACTTTAAAGTGGTTGAATAAGGGTTTAATGTTTTAAGGTGGGTACCGGGTATTAGGTCGGGTCAGTATAAAAATAAACCCGGATGGAGCAAATAGCTTAAATGGCTGCCACATGGCTCCTCCGTTAACTTGGGGGTATATTTACTCAATAGCAAGACGGTAGATGTATTTTTGCTCGATTAGTATAACGGAGTATAACTCTAAATAATTTTTGATAGTAGACAAGTATTATTGACCCTTTTCCATTGTGCCTATTATCTCTACCTCATCCCCCCAAAAGAAGATTTAAAACGTTAAAAATAAAAAGAAGAAAAACGAGAAGGAACTTTAGGATGGAAGAAGCATTTGATAAGGGTGAGGGAAAAATTCATTCACAAGGAGTATCTTGCATTCCCACTATTTGTGTTACCTAATCATTCTTTGAATTATCATTTAGGTTTTTTTATTTTCCCTTCTACTATTCGAACCCTTATGACAATGAGTCCTAGTGCAAACATGAGAGATCATAAGAGTAGAACGGATCAGAATTTAGACTCTTACATTATGTGCATCAGTGTATTTGGAAAGCAAGAGATATCTGCCCGCAAATAGGCACATGAGCTATTTTATGCGGGTGGTGTAGCTAGCTACTTCTCGTCATTTGCAGCATATATCCAATGTGGATATACGCTATCCCAATTTACAAAAAAAGAAGGAAAAAGGGGTTAAATTTACCCGTGTATTATCCAAAATTGAGCAATTTTGACTTATGTTAAACTTTTTATCTAATATTACCTCCGGTGATAGGAAAAAAGGTCTCGTTTTTGCCCTTGATCCCTAACGGAATAATAACGTGAAGGTTACTTTAAAATATTGTCAAAAGTTAAGGGGTAAGCTTGGACCTTCTTTCTCGAAAAAATTTGGACACATGAAGTCTATTAATTTCACACTAGAGCTCTGTTAATGACAAGACAAATACTAGATGATTTGTTAATGGCAAACATATGTACATCTCAAGAATTCATTCAGAAGCGTCTATTCATCATAATTCAATTAGGCCAAGATTCTTTCTTTTGCTTAAGTCTAGTAAGTAGTCACTCCGGTGGCGATAGAGATCTTAGTAATTATAACTTAAACTATTATGATAGTTATTGATAGGCGATGCATTTGATTAGCAAATAAAGAGTGATTTCAGTCAAATAAGCCATTTGGAGGAGAAAATACAAATATTATGGAATGAGTCCTATGGGCAGCTTGATGGCCTGATCAGTGGATGATACGGGCTATATCACATTAGTGAAAAAGAATTTGGAAGACAAAATATAATAAATTCTTGGAAAATTGGTGCATATTATTGAAATGAGCCAAAAATCATTTACATCAAGTGGAATGTATCTAAATTCAAATAATTCTTTTTATTAACTCTAAAACTTAAACAAGAGAATCCTTGGATAACTTCTTCGTTTCATGATTTTCCTTATCTTGATAACCATCCTTCCCTGCTAGAAGTGGTGTAGCAATATCTTTTTCTTTAACCTGAGATGATGACAAATATTAAATATTACTAGGAATAAAGTCCAACCACTAGAAAATGATTCCACTTATATACACTGTTAATGGAAATACAGTTAACTTACAGCCCAAAAATTGTCTTATTTTTAGTAGGTTACAAATGTCAGTTTTTATGAACGGTAACATGTAATTATCAGACATTTAGATTTTTTTTTGTATTGTCAGTGTTTAGAAGTTAAACTCCTAAATAAAGGAAATTCTTACTTGAGGTGCAGAATGATCTCCAGGCTGTTTCTTTTTGGTTTCAAGTGTGCAAAAATAGGAATACAATCCCATTCCAACAATGGCTACTAGTATACCAAGAATGTTTCTTGATGTGAAGGGATCATGCAGCAGTGTATAACCAAATCCTAGAACAAGGCATGTTTTTAAGTGGCCTAACACTTGGTATGTAACTGGTGATGTCTTTCCAATCACCAAAAATGTGCTGAAATTCACTGACACAGCAATCAGGCATGACAGCAATATGAACCCCTGCATTTTTTGCAAATTCAATTCATTATCCATTTGCTCATTCTAAAATATCTCTATAAATCTAGGCAAAAATTTCTATGTTTAAAGATTCCTAAACCTAACTGAAAAATAATCTAACTGATGGAAACTAATAGTATAATTTTCTGGCGAAGTATGATCAGTTGTATAAAATGTATTTGACCTATATATATAATATAATTTTCCGACGAAGGGTGTTCGACTGACCATTCTTAGCCTGCTGTAACTTCGCCCCTTATTATAGTAACAAATAATTTGTAGAAACATACATGCACAAGAAAAAATAGGGATTAGGATTTTTGCTTACCAACACAACATTAGAGTATTTGTAGGCAAAAACATTCTTTTTGGTAAGGAATTGATCCACCAAAGGCCCTGTCACAAATAGAATAGCTGCTTGGTAAGGGGCTGACTGGTACAACAGCTGTGTAGATGAGATATTGAGCCTCTTCTGAATTGTGTTGGTAAGCTGATTTGGAGGGTCAAGTCAAAGCATGAAATAACCATTGAACAATTATTTGGACTCAAATATAATCACATCTTTTATCAAAGAAAATAATGAAATAACTTTCATAATCTTTCTTCTTATGACATAATATTTGGATGATAAGTATAAGTTATATCTTTTACACCAACGGTGTAGTTTAACTTGCTATATCATGATACCATTTATTCTACTTTTCAAGTTATATAAGATAATGTTTGTTATAAAGAGCTGTCTGTTATTGCAAGTATATTCGGTGCACATAATATAAATTCTTGGACGAGTACGTAATGAAAGGATACAATTTGTCCAACACAAGTTGTAACAATGGCTAGTAGAGAGAGGACTGTGCCAACAAAATTGAGCTGAAGATC